CATGTGGCAGGGGGGTTGGAGATTCATGATCCTTGAGGTCCCTTCCAACCCTGGCCACTCTGTGATTCTGTATATGAGTTAACTTGGAGATCCTCAGCTGTTTCCTGTCTCTCAGCTACTTTGTACTAATATCTCGATGATCAACAAGGCAGCATTTAGCTTCAAGCTAAGTCCCTTTGGATTAAACTGATTTAAAAAAAAAAAAAAGGTTAGACCACAGGAGCCTGAGTGGGCTTTTGTGATTGAACCGATGGAGTGGAAAGAAAGCGAAGTCCTGCTTCCCTCCTGCTCTGCATTTCCTGTTTCCTCTCCCTTTTACAGTAAGCGTTTCTCATTTAACCCATTTTACCTTTGAATCATAGAATCAGTTGAGTTGGAAGGGACTTGCAAAGGTCATCTAGTCCAACTCCTCTGCAATAAACAAGGACATCTACAGCTCAATCAGGTGCTCAGAGCCTGGTCCAGCCTGACCTTGAGTGTCTCCAGGAACAGGGCATCCACTACAATGTGGTGCAACCTGTTCCAGTTCTTCACTACTCTTATCATAAAAACCTTTTTCTTATATCCTTATATTTGAAGGGGGTACCCATGTATCTTTCAGAAATGGCTCATTACAAGGTCAGATGAACACCATGGCTAGTAAAGGATGTAGCAGTAGGTACTGACAGTAGAAAAGAAGGAGCAGGACAACATCTATTGGAGCAGATACATCAGAGCAAATCAGCTAGATGTGAGAATAACCTTGAAAGCACATTGTTACAAGGCAGTCTGACTCTGTGCTGATCAGCAGCTGATTCCAGCAGCTGCACATTTCCACTCCTTCCTTATTTTGGCTTCTAGCAGCTGTGATGATGGGATCAGCTCGGTTGCCAACCAACAACTTGCTTGTCATTTCTTCATGCAGGGAGCTTCTCAGGCTGAACTGACTCACCCTTTGGTTGCATGATTACTGGAACTGATGTAAGGGAGGCAATGGAAATAGGCACCTGAAGACAGAGAGGTCAGATGCATTTCTACAGCTAGAGATCAGTCTCTGATTAGTTTAAGCCGACCACAAGGCTGATGCAGTAATCAGAAGACACAGCCTTGCCTCCCTAGGGAAAATAACCCTTTCGGGCTCTGTTCCACTTCATCCCTTATACCAGAGGAGGACGTTGACCTGCTTCACCGCGTATCTGGCTCACAACAACGTGGGTTACGTGACAACCCGTTTTTCCAGGTAATGCTCAGCTGGGCCGACTCCCCAGCCTGGCCCTGCACACGGCAGCACCTTAGGCAGCCTCCCTTTACAGAACCATAGAATCGAGTCAGCGGTGGGTCGACTCGAAGCGTCCAACTACGGCTGGGCGTTGATATTCGTTCTCTTTCACCGACCCACCACAGGCAGCTCCCACAACAAACCCCCGCTCGCCCTCTTCCCGCCGCCGCCATCTCGGGCGCCCCCTCAGCGAGCGCCCACTCCCCCCGCTCGCCGGCCCCGCCCCTCCCCGCCGAGTCCCGCCCAGGTGCAGGCAGCCCGGCGCATGCGCGGAGGCGCAGTAAACAGCGGCCGCCGCTCCTCCCCCTTACGCCGTTTGCGTGGCCGCCTCCGCGCAGGGCCGCGCGAGCGCCGGCGGCGGCGGCGGTTGCGCAGTGGAGCTACATCCGGGCACTGGGGCAGGATGAATGCTCCTTTCCAAGATGGCGGCGGAGGGAGGAGGGAAGGAGATGAACGAGATTAAGACCCAGTTCACCACCCGGGAGGGGCTGTACAAGCTGCTGAGCCACTCGGAGTACAGCCGGCCGAACCGGGTGCCCTTCAACTCGCAGGGCTCCAACCCGGTCCGCGTTTCCTTCGTCAACGTCAACGACCAGAGCGGCAACGGGGACCGGCTCTGCTTCAATGTGGGCCGGGAGCTCTACTTCTACATCTACAAGGGGGTCCGCAAGGTACCGGGGCTCGGCCGCCGCGCTGGGGTCTGAGGGCCTCCGCGCCGCCCGCCCGCCCGCCGAGGGGCCGCCCGCCGAGGGGGCGCGGGGCTGCGTCGTGGGCGGGGGCGGCGGGACCGCGGGGCTGACGGCGGCCCGGCCGGGCTCCGCGCCGCCCGCTCGGCCGCTCGCGAGGAGCACCGGGCTTGAGGGCTGCGACGGGGAGCCGGCGCCCGCTCCTCGCCGGGGTATGTCGCGTTCGCTGTCGCACCCGTAGGTGCGTGGGGAGGTGGGAGGGGTGGGATCGCTCGGGCCTTCCTCGCTGTGCGGGAATGGGGGAAGGGTTTTCAGTAGCGAGGGAACCGCGGGCCTCCTTCGTTCGCTGCTTCAGGTCGGAGGTTGGCGGGCGCCAGTGCCTGGCGTGATTACGGCGGTGTCAAATCCCCGGTAGGGCAGAGGAAGGCTCCCGAGCTGTGGTCGGAGGGCTGCGGTACTCGCTGTAATTACAGGCCTTTCTCACGGCTTTGAAGTGCGGTCTGATTTCAGGGTCGTTCCTAAAAGGGAGCGGTGCGGAGAGCTGAGTTTTAAACGTCAGGTAATTAATGCAGAGAAAGTTGCTTTTACGGAAGACGCTCATTGGCGCAGCTCGAGATAGGCTCTGTAATGGTTAACGTTAGATGTAGGACCAGTAGTGTGTGCGTCTGATGTTTCGGGTCACCATATTTACGAATAAATCCCTTCTACTAGTTGTTTCTTAGAGTCGTTGCCTTTATGGCATTTAGAAGAGCATTTCTAACTTGTCATGCTGTATGAATGCCACTCAATATATGAAAACACAGACGTAATGATTGTTAGGCTTCTAGTTTCTGGTTCAAGAAATGGGGGTTTGTTATCTCGTATACTTGAGACTTAGCTTCCATAAAGCGAGTCGTTTGAAACCTTCCTGCCTTTAGTCTACCGTGTAATATGGATAAGGAGGTGGAGGACTGGTGATACACCCAGGATTGTGAGGAAGCCTGTGGGTGAGGAGGGAGTCATAACTGAGCCTGCAGGCTGCTAAGCAAACACCCAAATCACTGCTCCTTTGTAAAATGTAAGCATCTACTGGAGAATTAAGTCTTCCTCGTTATCTGTTTACTGTGACTTGACAGATCTGATAAGTTCTGTATAATGCTATGGATCTTAGTTTTGCATTGCAGTGAATTTTCTTAACCTAGTTGTTTTAAATAATACTTAGTCAACAGTTTCTTGAAGCGTGTCATGAGTGCTCTTCTATCAAACATTTAAGCAACTGCTGTCTTTCCTATTTACAAGATAACATCAAGACAGTATCTCTGAAAATCTGGCATTTAAACTATTGTCATGTTCGTCTTCATATATCTTGAGTTTGTTTTTTTCCGTACAAAGTAACTGTGGAGTTCTCTTGCATGTTACAGAATGGGCCTTTATGTAGTGTAGTAATGATATGTGTGATTCTTGCAAGTTGTCTTAGTAACCTCTTGCCACGCTTAAAATAAATAAAAAACGAAATCTGAAGCTTGGAACTGCATTGGAAATAGGGAACTGAATAACTTTTTCAAATTGTAGAAGTGATTTTGAGATTAGTGTTCCAATATATTTTTTCCTGGCTGCTAAAAGCAGCTTTTGTGCTACATGGTAACAGAGAAAATATTAGTTTGTCAGATTGTTAACTTATGAGCTTTGTGATATACCTGTCACAGCACTATGTATTGTTTTCCTCATAGTAATATAAAATGTATGCATTGTTCAGAATTCATTTCAGTGAGCTCTTATGATACTAACGAATGAAAATATACTTCAAAATCTTTTTATGTAATATGCTAAGTTCTGTAAAATTAATCTAGAGAAATAGCTGAAATAAGCTAAAGAAAGTATTTAAAATGAGAATAGAGAAGGTGGGCTGCCTTGAACTTGTAATGGTTGTTTCTTTGGAATTTATTTTGGAACTATTCATTTCAAAGATGCCTTTGTCTATGTGCAAAGTTTAGAGAAGAACAGGCTGATACTTTCAACTGATGATTGGAGTTCTTTGGTATAAAAGGTTACATATTTTTCGGCTATTGTTGCAGGAAGGAGCTACTGTTACCTAAATTGATAGTATGTATGTCTGTCTTAAACTGGACAAACTGAACTTTGCATGTCTTCCACTTCTTGGCAGTGGAGCTGGGTGAGGGACCCAAAAATTTGTGATCTCTGCATAATACAAATGCTAACAGCTTCTCTTTTAAGTTACTTCACAATTATCGAAGTGTCTCTTGAAAATGCTCCCTAATAATATTCAGACTGTAATTTTCATTTCAGTGAAGTCACTAAGATAGTAGAGTACAAATGGAAGTTAGTGAAGCTGTGTTAGCTGTGGTAGCTAAGATTGTGTCTTTTATTTTAATTTTATCTTGCTTTTCCAGAGCAAGAACAGGAGCAAACTTTAAATGTTATACTTCTATTAAAATGAGTGAAAGAACCACCAGGATTTTATTTTAAGGAGAAGTTTCTGTCTGATGCTGAGATAATTCTTGTATCAGTAATCTATCAGTACATGTCAAGCAGGAGTCACACTCAAGCCATGAATGATAGATAATGCTAATATTAAGTGAAAAGTACCACTTGTAAGGATGTTTCTTGAAATCAGTGATGCTAAGTGTCCTTTAAATCCTAAATATGTTGCATCCTCTATGTCTAGTTTGTGAATCATTTTTTGAAGTACTTTGCTAACATTCGTGTTCAGTTTAGGATATTCAAACTACAGAAAGTAAAATCTTTAAGACATTTCTTTATGCTTGTTTTATTTTCTAAGAAACCTGATTGAGGAACAGTGTCCAGGATGGTTGTGTTGGGATTGGAGTACCAATAAATAATGATGATAGTTAGGAAGAGCGGTAAGGGAGTTTTGGGTAACATTTCAAGCTGTCTTTAGAGATTTTTTTTCCTTAAAAAGTAAAAAATGTATTTCCACACAAATTCATTCTTAAATGAATATTTCTTAAAATAATAAAAGCTCAGCTTTCTTTCTATTCTTCTTTCTTACTATAAAGCATTGCCATTACCATGAAACGTGTCACCAAATTGTCATGTCTTTCATGGCAACGAAAGCACATCAGTTGTGGATCACTGTTGTGGTTTTTTTTCTTGTCTGTTATTTTGTTTGTGTTTTAACAAAAACTTAACCAGTTTTCCTTCTGCTAATAAGGTAGTGCAGGCTCCCAGAAAACTACTGTTTTTCTTGTTTCTATCCATTGAAAAAGGAAGTGAATGTATAGTTTAGAAAAGAGAAATTGAACTGCGATTGAATGACAGGTGGTTGCTTTACATCTGTAAGTATGTAATTATTCTCAACTATGCTGAGTGTCAGTAGGCTTTCCCTTACAGTCCTCCTTAACTTTGACATTAAGGCAAGATGTGATCTCCTGTTAAAAGGTTGAATTTTTTGAACTCAAGTGATCTAGTGACAGCTGGAAATGATGATACAGCAGCAAAGTATCTTCTTGGCAGTGTGCTCCCCGTATCCTTGCTAGCTTTGGCTGTGCTCAGCCTCAGTTTGAGCTCGTTTAGCTTGTCAAAGTTTAGCTTGCTAAATTAGCAGTTCAATTCATGCGCTTTTTTAATTTTGATTTGGTGAGTTGAACCATTTCATCTTGGGTTCAGATATGAGCAAGCACAGTGAGAGCAAAGAAAGGGATGAAGGGAGAAGGAACAAAGCTGCCTCCTGGTTGCCTCAGGTTGGATCTGTTGCCTGATGGTCTCACCTGAGCAATGCCTTTACTGCTGCCTTAAGTCAGATTCAGAATGATCTGTTCTTTAGAGATTGTTGACTTAATCTTGAGAGTTATAGATGACAGAGGAGGCTTTTTCTGTTTCATGGAGTAGAAGGTAATCATTCAAAAATGATTGATCAAGCCATGATGCATTGGTGCTTTGGATGGGTCGCCTTTTTCTGCAGCACACATCAGGAATGAGGGCTGTTGCTCGAGTCTTGCTTATGAGACACTCTCGAGCTACTTCAGCGTGGTTTGTGTCTGGTTTTGCAAAATGGTTTATTAGTTGATTCATTAATCTTGAGAAGGAGCATGCTATTTCATCATCTTTCTTGTCATAGGAATGACTGACAAGACAAGGCTTTCTGGATTGCTGCTGACATTTAACTACCAAATTCATTTCCATTTTTACTAGGAAACTAGTGCATTTTCCCTTTCCCCCCCACCACTATAATTAGTGTATTCTCTCTGTTTATTATAAAGGCTTCTGGGCAAGTCAGCATGCAGCTGAGGCTTCAATACAGTCATATGAAGGTGCATATTAGCAGCAATGTGGCACTGTATACAGTCTTGGTTTTTACCACACATTGGGTTGTTACCAAATTTGAATGCCATTCAGCTTATTATATTATTTTTTCTTTGTGGCAGGCTTTCCCAACAGTAGTTGTTGGTTTACTTGTTTATTATGAACTCTGTCTTGCCAAAAGAGACTGTCTTCAGTTGTATTTCTTTTCCTGCAGCTACCTAAAGCAGCAGTCTGTCAATAGCTATGTGATGTTAGAGTGTGTTATAATGGTATAGTAGTAAAAAAATAGGTAGGTGGTGAGCCCAGGTTGGAGAAGGCATGGAGGGTGGAATCTGTGTGCTGTCTTTTCAGCCATACATTGAACAGGGCTTAGAAATAATTATATTTGTACTAAGATGAAGGTAAGCTCATATCTTAATTTCTTTTACAGTATTCTGGTAATCCCTGGTTATCAGCAAAAGTACTGCTGACATATAGGATTCTTTCCTTTGCATTACTCTAAATTGCCTTCTTAAATATCTGTCTTTATTGGGATCTCTATTGTCCAGCTGAGAAGTATTATACTTGGTGATGATTTGTGTTCTATAGAATGTTCATCTAGGATCTTGTCCTAATGATGGAATGATAATGAGTGGCATTTATCACCATGCTTAGTATATTGCTTTCTCTGGGAAGGGTAGTGCTCAGCAGCTCTAGGTTGGAAGCTGGAATCTGCAGAAACA